TTTCTTCATATGTCCTGATTTGTTACATTTAAAACAAAGTAAGTTATTTGAATTTGAATTTTTTGATTTGAACTTACCTTGTTTTATGAACTTTCGAAACTTGCGTGCAAACATGCTCATTTCTTCATCATCATCCGAATCTTCTTTATCGGAAGTAGTATTAAATGCAAACACTTTATTGTTCTTTGTTTCATCATCATTCTTTCTATCTTCAATTTGAACTTCATAAGCCATAAGATTACCAATTAGATTTTCTACCGTAAGAGTTGATAAGCCATTTGCTTTCTTTGTTGTGGTAACTTTTTTTTTCATTGTGGAATAAGTAAACGAAGTATCTTTCGCACCATCTCCACTTGAGTGTATATTTTTTCAAGACCGATGAGAGAATTGGTGATATCGGTAAACCTTGTAAATATCTCTTCAATGGTCTCGTTTTCCTTCATTCTAAACAATTTGAATCTGTGTACAAGAACAGAAATTTTAGATTTTTAAACCTTACTTATGCCTTCATGAGTTACCTCGAGTGTGTGCCAAATGTCATATGCAGATGTGACCGTTGACACCTTGTTGAACTCATTCTTGTCAAGAACACAGAACAAAGCGATCATTGCTTTAGAATCCAAATTTGTATTGTTCATTTGAGATGTAGTCCATTCCATGAAAGGAGTAGTTGGCTTCTCGTATTTTGTTTCTACAACGTTCTAAAGTTCGTAGTCAATTGATTGGAGATAAATTTTCATCCGACACTTCTAATAATTGTAATTTAGTCCATCAAACATTGGTGGACGATTTGTAGAATGTCCTTCCTTGAATTTTGAGTTTGAGTCGGAAGTTGATGTCATTTCTTCAACCTTGCTCTGATACCAAATGTAGGATCTGATCTAATCACACTTAAACACTAGGAGGGGTGAATAGTGTTTCTTTAAAAATTTATGCAAAGAAGATTATAATTTGCAAAGAAGATAGCATAATCACAGAAAATCACAATCACAAACACAGAATTTTATATCGGTTCCACCTCCCAGGTGTACATCTAGTCTCCAAGTAAATCCCACTTAAGAGTTCCACTATGATTTTGAAAAACTTCTAAAACCAAACAACAAACCTGACTAATTTGCAAGTCTTTGCAAATTGCACACAATCTCTTCACTAAGAGATTACACCTTTCACACCCGTGAGAACACTTGTCTTGTTACAACTTGATTCTTATAAGCCTTGAGTGTATTGTGATATGTAGCAGTGGCTTAGGAACGTTTATAATCTCTGAAAATTACCTAATTTGATTGTATATTGAATGAAGATCAAAGGCTAACTCAGAGAATGATTTTTCTCAACACTTAGTGAAAATCTGGAAATTTTTTACTCTTGGAAAATGCACAAAACTTAAATCTTATAGATAGGAATTAGTGAGTCAAATTTCTGAACTTGTAACCTATTATATCCTTGAAAAGATAATTTTTCAAATCCTAAAAACGTGCACATAACGGCTATAAACAGACACTTTTTCAAAAACTGAAATGTTAAAAAACTGTTTTAGTAGTCTACTAATAGTCGTTGTAGTCGACTATTCTGAGTTCAAACAATTTCAGTAAATTCAGGATTTTTCTTAGTAGTCGAGTACTATATTCATTAGCCGACTACTCTGTAGAACAGAAAATCTGGAATTCAAAATTCGAAGCTGAGTAGTCGACTATACTTTGTAGTAGTCGACTACACTGTAAACAACAGAAAGTTAGAATTCTAAATTGATTTTTAGTAGTCGACTATATAGTCTACTAGTCGACTACACTATAACTTTACAGAAACTGAGATTTTACCTTAGTGCTTAGTAGTGACTATAAAAAGTCATTAGTCGACTAGACTGTAATTTGATAGAAACTTATATTTTTTATCTGAACTTCAGTAGTCGACTACAAGTAGTCATTGGTCGACTACTAAGGGGTGAAAACTAATATGAATAAGATATTTTTAGACTTATTGATAAGTTATAAACTCTAATGGTTAACATAGGGGATTTCTATTGTTAACCAATACACTAAGTATGTGTTAGTGTGTTCTAATTACTATGTGTGTGTATGTGGGAGTGATCAAGGCTTGTACAAACTTTCTAAGTAAAGAAAATGTAAAATTTACATTGATGTATAAGCTCTTCATCTTCTTTACTTCATGAAGCCTTGAACTCATCTTGCACTTGTTCATGTTGATAGCTGTATTGAAATGTTAGTGCACAATAATACACACAGTGATTCATATTATGAATAAATTGTTATCATCAAAATTATATCATGGGGACATGATATCCAACACTATTTGGTCAAATCGAGCAAAAGTCGACTAAAATTGTGGATTATAGCGCTCATGAAATCATGAATTTTGAACTAGACATAACTATTTGCCACTGGGTTTAAACGGACAAAAATTGTATAATCTGAGCATAGCACACGCCATGCTGTTCATGGATGTTACTTGTTTGGCACTTGTGTCTTCGGGTATGAAGTGTTACATTTCATGGTAATGCACATCCTTTCATCCTGAACTTCAGTTCCAGTGTCTCCACATTATCATTTGAACTCTCTACATTGCCTTTTCTGTTCCTCGTGCTTGTTTCTCGTGCTTGTTTCACTTGCATGAAGTGTAGGATTAATCTTCATCACATCTAAAAGGTAGGTCAAGGTAATGCCTGCGATAGTATTGCCTTGTTGCTTGGAATTTTTGCAAGCTGAAGCCATTTCCGTTGTTTTTATTCCACAATACAGACTTGCTTATTGTCAATCTTCTGATTTGGAATATCAATGGCCTGGACCGAGTCAGGTAGAGATGGTGACCTCAATGTTTGATCCCTCATTTGGATCTTGATGCAAAGTCTCCTTTCTTAAATCAATCAAGTAACCCAACCAAACCCAAACCAACCCCAATAAAATTTATTTGAGCCTGACCTGCTCAAATTAACAGGGGGACCAGTTAAGAGTTTGGGTATGATGCAAATTGATGACAGCAATGTAAAAAATGTAACATTTTATTACCCGAAAGAATTTAAATTATAACCAACATTTTAGGATTACTAGCACAAAAGGATCTAACCATCATATACTTCCTGGACTAAATGTAGTATAATAATAATATCATTTATATTAAGTATTACTAGGTCTGAGGCATATCAAGAAGGTCGAAGCTCAAAACCCTGGAGCTATCTGTTTGCTAGATGGCCTATGCTCCACAGACATAGACCCAAGGGTTATATTCCAACAGTCGTGTGGTATCGAACACAACGAAGGATTAAAATAGAGTGAAAAAGGTTGAGGTCATTTTCCTCTCCTACTTTGGTCCTAGTCAAGCGCCTAAGTAGTGATTTTAAATGATACAAATTCTTACTCCTAAGTAGTGATTTTAAATGATACAAATTCTTACTTTTTCTTCAAATATGGTTACTTAATACAACAATTAAGAAATATTGATTTCTGCATTCATGAGAAAACAACTGCAAATAATGGCACACCTGTATCTGTTCTCCATCTTCTCTCTCTAGACTCCTAACAAGAACCCAGAACTAAGCAGGCAGTGAGTTGGTCATATTTGGGGGAGGGCATGCGGCAACCATAGCACTACGCGCTGCTAGTAAGGGTCAGGTCAGCCCACGTGCAATTGCAGCTGTTGCACCTACTTGGGCTGGTCCTCTTCCCATTGTCTTTGGTCGGGGTTCTGACATGGAATCAAGGTACATGCATGTTATTCTGAAATGACTCTCTTCCTCTAGAGCCTTCTTCTTTTTCTTTAGGAGGATACGCTTTGTTGATATTGATTCCTCGTATCTTGATCATCAACTTTTAGGTATGGGCTTTTGAGAGGCACCTTAAGAGCACCTGCAGTGGGTTGGATGATGTACAATTTGCTCGTAAGCAATGAGAAATCCATCCAATCCCAGTACAAATCTCATGTCTATGCTGATCCAGAAAATGTAACCCCCAGCATCATCGAGAGCAGATATTCTCTAACAAAAAGGAAAGGTGCTCGGTTTGTACCTGCCGCTTTTCTTACTGGCCTCCTTGATCCTGTTCAATCTCGCGAGGAGTTTCTAGCTCTATTTGCCAAGCTTGAGGGAGAGATACCAGTTCTGGTTTTTTCAACAGCTGGCTCTCCCAAGAGGTCCAAGGCTGAGATGGATGCTCTTAAGGGAGCCAAAGGCGTCAGAAAATTTGTTGAGGTCCCGGGGGCCCTTTTACCTCACGAAGAGTATCCATTGACAGTTTCGGAGGAGCTTTACCAGTTTTTGCAAGAAAACTCTGAATCCAAGAGTTAAAACATATAAGCGATTTAGTATCTTCTTTGTTTTTGGTTATCGTGTGAAATGGTGGAGGCTTTGAAGTTGTACGCTTGTTTATTTACTGGATTTCTACAATGAATAATGAGTTAATGGTTTGAGATAGTCTCAATTCATTTCCCACATCTTATATTTTTTTTCCATAAAGCTTCAGCGCGTTCAATAAGTATTGAACTCAATGTCTAAAACCATTACTTGCATTAGAAAGTTGTTCCCAGTTCATAGCTCATTTGTACTAGTTGAAATGATGCCTTTGTAGCGTGATAATGTGCAGGTCTGAGCATCTAGTTTTGAGGAATGGCCATCGTCACCCATCAGCCACTCCAATGCTTATCTTTGCTGAGAGGCTGCAAGACCCTCAGCCACCTCAAACAAGTCCAACCCTTTGTCTTGAAGAGCGGGCTTGATGCTGACCCTCTTGTTGCTGGAAAAATTATCCTCGTTGCTGCCATCACCCTCACCGATGGTTTGGACTACGCTCACCATGTACTATCTCAATTCCCCTTCCCCGATGCCTTCATGCACAACACTCTAATTCGTGGTTTCTCAGAATCCGATCACCCGAATCATTCCCTCCTCATCTTCAACCAAATGAGGCGGCATTGTCTAACTCCAGACAGCTTCTCTTTTGCCTTCCTGTTGAAGGCAGCAGCAAATTGCAGGACAATCCATGCTGGCGCCCAACTCCATTCCCTTTCAATCCATCACGGCCTCGATGCCCATCTCTTTGTTGGTACGACGCTTGTGAGCATGTATGCTGAGTGTGGCTGCATTGCCTCAGCAAGGAAAGCGTTTGATAAAATGCCACAACCAAATGTTGTAGCTTGGAATGCAGTGGTCACAGCTTGCTTCCGTTCAAATGATATCAAAGGCGGTGAGGATCTGTTTGCTGTGATGCCATGGAGGAATCAGACTTCTTGGAATCTCATGCTTGCTGGTTACACAAAGGCTGGTGAGCTCGAATCAGCTAGGAGGTTATTCTATGAGATGCCCCAACATGACCCGGTATCTTGGAGCACCATGATTGTCGGTTTTGCTAGCAATGGACATTTTGACGATGCCTGCAGTTTCTTTAGAGATTTGTTGAGAGAGGGCCTGAAGCCAAATGAGGTGAGCTTGACTGGCATCCTCTCAGCCTGTGCACAGTCAGGGGCATTTGAGAATGGAAAGATCCTACACGGACACATAATGAAGGCGGGTTTCTCTAGCATTGTAGCAGTGACCAACGCACTCTTGGACATGTATTCTAGATGCGGGAGCATCGAAATGGCTGACCAGGTTTTCATTCAGGAGATGGGGAAGAAGAACATCATATCATGGACATCAATGATTGCAGCTTTTGCAATGTATGGCTATGGAGAAGAAGCGATCAAGCTCTTTTCTGATATGGAAGAATTTGGAACAAAACCCGATTGGATAACCTTCATCTCTATCCTCTATGCCTGTAGCCATGCTGGGCTAGTAGACAAAGGCCGTGAATTCTTCCACATAATGACACATACCTACAGGCTTTCTCCTTCAATTGAGCACTATGGCTGCATGGTTGATCTCTATGGTCGCGCTGGACTATTAGACGAGGCCTATGAATTCGCTACACGAATGCCTATTGAGCCTAATGCTATCATATGGAGAACATTGCTTGGTGCATGCAGTATTCATGGAAATGTTAAGCTTGCCGAACTTGTGAAGCAGCGCCTCTCTGAGTTGGATCCTAATGACGCTGGGGACTATGTTCTACTGTCCAATATTTACGCTGTAGCTGGGAAATGGAAAGATGTAGCTGAGGTGAGGGGGTCAATGAGTAAGCAGAGCATCAAGAAGGACCCTGGATGGAGCTCTATCGAGGTTGACAAGGCTGTCTACAAGTTTGTAGCAGGTGGTGATGGATCAAGTAGAATAGGTGTAGAGGCAAACAAAAAGCTTGTGGAGATCATGGAGAAGCTGAAGGATGAAGGCTACATGCCAGGAGTTGGGAGTGTGTTGCATGATATCGAGGACGAGGAGAAAGAAGGGGCGATTGTTAGACATAGCGAGAAGCTCGCAGTGGCATTTGGGATAGCTAGGACTGGTGGTGTTGGGAAGACGATAAGGATCGTGAAGAACTTAAGAGTTTGTAGGGACTGCCATGTGGTGATGAAGATGATATCAAAGGTTTATGGGAGGGAGATCATAGTCAGGGATCGGAGCCGCTTTCATTCCTTCAGAGCAGGATCTTGTTCTTGCGGAGATTACTGGTGACTCGGAGCAGAATCCAGCCTTCGCATCAAACTGTATGCCGAAGTTTTTGTCTTTTAGTTTGTGTTATGAACATGGTTTCTATAAATTTTTTCTTCTAGTTGGGCTTTCATACTCTGAAGAGTAAAGATCGTGTCCTATCTGCGGTAGTTCACAACCATCCTGTTAGCTGCTTGCGGTTGTGATTTAGTCTTGGGGTTTGTGTTAGCCAAAAAGCTAACGTGTTTAGGACTTACCTTTCAACTGGGGGACAAATTTTCAAAAGAGACCTATTTGGTTTTTTATTTGTAAAAAACGACCCGTTTCCAAGATATTTTTAAAAACCGACTTGGTTTCAGCCTCAGCGCTGAAACCAGGTCGGTTTTTTTAAAAAAAAAATTGAAACTTCACGGGAGTTGAACTCCCGTGAAGTTTAGCAGATTTTAATTAAGCTGTGCTAAACTTCACGGGAGTTCAACTCCCGTGAAGTTTCACAGTACAATTTTGGTCATCTTCGTTCCCTGTTTATTGAACCCAAAATCAATGGAGATCCACCGCTTCCGTCAACTGCTCCCTGCTGCGCCTCCAAACACCCCGTGTCGCCCTCGTGGGTGGAAACCACACCGCCGCTCGGTTCTGCACTCGCTAAGCTCAACTCCCCAACTATCGCTGTTAGACTCTTTTTATTCTCTCTCTCCTCTCTCTCTAAATTCTTCACAAAGCTGAGATTTTTGAAAGTTCGGGGATCGGTTCGGTTTGAAACGAACTATAAAGCTCCCAAATTCCACGAACAGCAAGAGATCAACAAAGAGAAAACGAGCTTCCTTTCTCAACCTCCTCCTCCTCCATTAATTCCGCGGCATTCGAGGTCGACAGTGTCAGGAGCCAACACTAAGACAACTGGAGTTGAGGTTGGAAGCTGGGAAAGAACTGGTGCACTGTCGGACTGATACACAAGAACAGGACTGATATGCAATTATTGTGGGGCTAGCGTGCAAATTCTCATAGTTCAAGGGCTATAATAAATGTTTGACTGTTGTTAGAGTTCTGTTAGAGAACTTAACTGTCTGCACGTGTACAGTTAAGACAGTTAAGTTCTGTTATTACTGTTGCAATTGTGTGCACGTGCACAGTCTATTAGAGTGAGAAGAATTGTATAAATAGGGGTTGTAATAATTGAGATTCGGGGGTTGAATAAGAAATCTCTTCTTCTCAGTTCTCTACAATATTCTTGTTCAATTCTTTCTCTCTTTTCCTCTCAAATCTCTGTCTCTTCTTCTTCAAGTTGAATTTAGCTGAAATCAATGGCCACAAAGGGGAATCGAGGTCTCCGATCCTCACAATTGGTATCAGAGCAACAAGAGACTGAAGCGGGCGCTGAGGATTTCTTGAATGATCAAGAGGAAGTTGAGGGTGAGGAGCCGACTCTAGAAGATAGATTTGCTCGACTAGAGGATGCTGTTGTCAGAAACAGTTCTGTCAATCGACAACAGGATTCTTTCAATCAGAAATTTTCAACACAGATGGGTGAGCTCTCTTCTAAGCTGGAGTTTCTAATCCAAGAGTTCAAGAATTTCAAGAATTCTGACCAAGGAATTCTTGGCTCTGGACCGAGGGAAGATCCTAGGAATCTGAATTCAGGTTCAAGAGGAGCTGGTGATTTCCATAGGGGTGATCACAGTAATGGATATCAGACCCTAAGTCGAAGAACTCCTGAGTTCACTGGGGAATTCCAACCCGTCAACAGCTTTGGTAATATGTCAACTCCAAGAAACTCTTTCTTTAGCAATCAAAAACTTGTTCAACCAAAATCTTTACGGCTGGATTTTCCTTCTTTCTCTGGATCTGAAAACATTATAGCTTGGTTAGAGCAAACCGAACAAATTTTTGAGTATTATGACATTAAAAAAGATGAATGGGTCAAGGTCTGTTCCTTCTACCTAAGGGATGAGGCCTTGCAGTGGTATAGGTGGTTCACTAGGAATATAGAAGACTATTATCATTGGACTGTTTTTAAAGAAGAAATTATAACAAGATTTGGTCCTAGTGAACTCACGAGGCCATATGATGCCTTCTCAACACTAAGACAGACTTCTACAGTCAGGGAGTACTTGGGAAAATTTGAGCAAGCCTTGGGATTGTTAGATGATCAACCCTCTAGAAGACACATTCTTGAGAGGTTTATAGGGGGATTGAAAGATGAATTGAGATATGATGTTTCAGCAGCTAGACCAACTTCTTTAAAAGGGGCGGTATCCTTGGCCAAACTATTTGAGGACAAACAGAAAAATGAAAGAAAATATAAGGGTCACTGGAGTTACTCAAACTCAGAAGGCTCTTCAATGAACAAATCACAGAATCCTTCTCTTAAGTCTTCAGACCCTCAAGCAGTCAGACCCTTCCACCAGTTTAAGAAACTGACCCCTGAAGATATACAAAAGAAAAGAAGTCAGAACTTGTGTTTTACATGTGATGAAAAATGGCATAGGGGTCATCAATGCAAAGGAAAACAGTTATTTGTCTTAGAAGGAATCATAGAAGGTGAATTGGATAGGACTGAAGTGGATTCTGGAGAGGAGGAAGAAGGAGATTCTGCAGTTATGGAGTTAGCTGAAAGCTTGGTCAGGGGAGCTCCCTCTATTTCTGTACAAGCATTGAATGGCATTAGTGCTTCCCACACAATTAGGGTAGTAGGATATTACAAAAATCAGGCTATTAACATTTTAATAGATTCATGATCTACACACAATTTTATCAATGCCAAACTGGTTAAGAAACTGGGCATAACTGTGACAGAGTCAAGTAATTTTGAGGTTCTAGTAGCCAGTGGTGAACTAATTAAAGGAGGAGGAATATGTCCAGGGGTATCTTTGGACTGTCAAGGGGTGAATATTCAGGTTAACCTATTGGTTATGCCTATGGGAGGTAGTCAAGTGGTTCTAGGGGCTGACTGGATGAGAACATTGGAGGATATCACTCTAAACTTCAATAAGCTACAGGTGACATTCATGACTGAGGGGGTTAAGAAAACCTTACAGGGGGTACTCCCAGATGATTTGCAGTTAGTTGATAGTAAGCAAATTGCAAAAACTATCAGGGAACAAGAGCAATGGTTTCTCATCCAATTGTGTAGTGTGAGTCTACAAAGTGGCACAACAGAAGGTGCACAGGAAGACTTACCTTCAGAAGTGCAAGAACTGATACAAGAATTTGAAGATGTATTTCAGGAGCTACCACACCTTCCTCCAAAAAGGGACATAGATCATAAAATCCCACTAGAAAATGGCACAAAACCAATCTGTATCAGACCATACAGGCATGCACACTTTCTAAAAGATGAAATTGAGAAACAAGTGGAAGATATGCTTAACAAAGGGATCATCAGACCTAGCAACAGTCCTTTCTCCTCTCCAGTTGTGATGGTTAAAAAATCTGATGGGGGGTGGAGGATGTGTATTGATTATAGTCCTTTCTCCTCTCCAGTTGTGATGGTTAAAAAATCTGATGGGGGGTGGAGGATGTGTATTGATTATAGGTCTCTTAATCAAGCTACCATCAAGGATAAATTTCCAATACCTGTCATAGATGAACTCTTGGATGAATTACATGGGGAAAAATTCTTTACTAAGCTGGATTTGAAATCTGGATATCATCAGATTAGAATGCACACAGCTGATATTCCAAAAACTGCCTTTAGGACCCATAATGGACATTTTGAATTTCTGGTAATGCCATTTGGCCTCACTAATGCTCCTTCTACTTTTCAAGCCCTCATGAATGCTATCTTCAAAGACCTACTCAGGAAATCTGTCCTTGTCTTTTTTGATGATATTTTGATATATAGTGCAAGGTGGCAGGACCATTTGTTGCATCTAAGACAAGTGTTTCTGATTATGAGGGCACATCAGTTGGTAGCAAAAATGTCAAAGTGCAGTTTTGGACAACATCAAGTAGAATATTTAGGCCAGGGCACATCAGTTGGTAGCAAAAATGTCAAAGTGCAGTTTTGGACAACATCAAGTAGAATATTTAGGCCATGTTGTATCACAAGAAGGGGTTGGTGTCAAAGTGCAGTTTTGGACAACATCAAGTAGAATATTTAGGCCATGTTGTATCACAAGAAGGGGTTGGGGTTGATACTAACAAGATCAAGGCTATCATTGACTGGCCAAGGCCAACAAGTTTGAAGAGGTTGAGAGGTTTTTTGGGTCTAGCAGGGTACTATAGAAAGTTCATTAGGGGATTTGGAGCAATTGCACAGCCCTTGACACAACTTTTAAAGAAAGGAGCTTTTATGTGGACTGACTGCACTGAAAAGGCCTTTGAAGCATTAAAGAGAGCACTGACTCAACCTCCAGTCTTAGCTATGCCCAATTTCAATCTAATATTTGTCATTGAATGTGATGCTTCAGGATCAGGTATTGGGGCTGTATTGATGCAAGAAGAAAGACCCATAGCTTACTTCAGCTCTGCTTTGAAAGGAAGGAATATTACACTTTCCACATATGAGAAAGAGTTAATGGCAATCATTCTGTCAACAAAAAAATGGCAGCAGTATTTACTAGGCAGGAAATTTGTGATCAGAACTGATCATCAGAGTCTCAAATACCTATTGGAACAAAGGATTCATACAGGTATTCAAAACAAATGGCTTGCAAAATTACATGGGTATGATTATAGGGTGGAATATAAGCCAGACAGGTTGAATAAGGCTGCAGATGGCCTATCTAGACTGCAGGATAATGAAGATGAGGTTCCTGCTCAAGATGAGGTTCCTGCTCCTATGGCTGAGGTTTCAGCACTTACTACTCTTACCAGTGATTGGTTAGAGGAGGTTAAACACATGTGTTCTATAGATGCTTATTTTAGGCAACTAGATGACAGGTTGCTGCATGGGCAATTGGATGCTGGGAACTATGTTAAAAAAGGTGGGCTCTACTTCTACAAAGGTAAACTGTTGATTAGTCCTCAAGTTCAACACATCAAGTCTTCCTTATTAAAAGAGCATCATGATAGTCCAACAGCTGGGCATTCTGGAATCACCAGAACCCTACAGAGACTTAGGAGGGCTTGCTATTGGGAAGGTATGAAGAGGGATGTCCAGACTTATGTTCAAAATTGTGATATCCGCCA